TCTGTCCTAATTCCACAAGGTCCTGTTATCTCCCACCAGCATATATCGAATAACTCTATCCCCAAGCATTGGACAGATAAGAAGAATTCACTTGGCATTTTTGTTTCACTAAGATTTGAATTTGAGACCTCATGGTTCTCAACTCACTTTATTGATCACTCGCTCAAACCCTTGGGTGTGGGTTTAACATTCATTATAAAACTATCAACTATAAGAATTCTCAAAACAATAGTCAAGTAGTTCTTAGGTTTTAGCATGTTCACAACATTGAAGGTGCACACCCTCTACCAATCCTTTGCCAATTTTCTCTTCCTCACTAGCATGCTCAATTGGTACATCCAAATGTCTCTATGCTAAAAATTTCTTTCACTTAGGTGTGCACTGCATCTTCTGTCAAAGGTCCAGTAAGGTTAATAGACCCAAAAGAATGATAGTTAATTTAGTGTCCCCTTACTTCATCTAATAAAAAGATAGTCATTGATGTCCGAAAATTGGTTCAGAGTTATGGAGAGGCAGACAGACTTGAAAGCTTTAGAAAGAACTAGGAAAGGTGAACAAATACAGAACTAAGGCCTGAAGCCATACCAGAAACAAGTGTCAACCTAAGGCATTATATATATGACTATGCACGCATCGTCCCATTGTTGCCAATTGGAGCATCCATATAATTGAATGTTTTCTTTAAAATACATATATTTTTACTAATTCCACATTCATTATCACACAAGAATAGTAGGTGCAATGGTACTTCATATTAACTGAGTAAAAATTCTAAATCTAGCTCTAGCAAGAACTATGCCTTTCTAGCCCTCCCCACTCTCTTTTTCCACAAGACTAACTGTGAGTTCTCCAAGAAAGATCTTCTCTCTTTTTTTCTTTTTGCTACCGAGTTCGCGTATGGTAGGACTAGGGAGTCACTCCTCATCAAAAGGTTCTTCGATTTCAGGACTCAAAATGAGACCTCTAATCAAAGATGAAGAGATTTCAACAGTCCCACCACACCTCTCAGTGTTATGAGCTGAAAATCAAATACCACAATGAATGAATAAGCATCGGGCCTCATAATACGAACACATCAAGCTCCTCCATTAGGTTCAGAACTTCCTACTTCACGCATACAATGCACGAATAGCTATGCAGAAGCTAAGCCTACATCAATTGACAGTCATCAATCAATCAATCAATCCCAAAATAGTTTAGGTCAGGTAAACCAATCATCACATTCCAATACTAAATAAGTTAAGGGTTTTCTAAAACTAAAGGTTTGCTGAACCTCCCTCACACTTGTGAGCCTCTAACCTAGCAAAAATGGAAGCAGGTGTAAGTGTGACAACTTAACTTGGATTTCAACCAGTTTGTGTCAATTACAATCTATATAAATGCAATAAAACATCGAAATGGGGAAAGTGAAAATTGCTGAAACAGATACCCGTATCGACGAAATCGCTCTCTTGTGCTAAGATTTTCTGGGTCGAAATAGCTAGGAGACGTGCCCTCGTCAATCTCCATCTTCAGAATATCAAAGATTTGACGGCACCGGAAGGCGAAAGGTAGAGCACCGGAGGTTTATGAGCGGGAAGGGTTTTATCAAACTGTGTGGGACTGTGGGAAGACTGAAGAATAGGTTGTTCAATATATTAAAATATTATTTTATTTGTCTACTTTAAATTTAAAAAATTAATACACATTAAATAATTTTTAAAATTTTGTTCTTAATATTAAGCAATTATTTTTCGAATTAATTAAAGTATTAGTAGTTAAATTAGATTTTTAAAATATTATTAATAAGAATATTTGTTAGGAGATTGGGATGTTGTTATGAATGTGTGGGTTATTAGAAAAGATATGATTAGAAAAAGGATATTTGAGACAAGGGGGGAGTGGTTTCGATGAAGTACAAGATGCGGAAAGTGAGATTGAGATGGTTTAGACATGTGATAAGGAGATGCACAAGTACTTTAGTAGGGAGGTGTGAGAGACTGAGTTTGGATGGTTTCATGAGAAGGAGAGGTAGATCGAAGAAGTATTGGAAAAGGTGATAAGACATACATGACACAGTTTCAACTTATAGAAGATATGACCTTAGATAAGAGGTTGTGGAGGACTTGAATTAGGGTAAACGGTTAGTAGATATGAGTGTATGCCTTGTTGTTCGTCCATATTAGTAGTTGTAATATCACTATTGTAGTTTCTTACCTTCAATTTTTGTTACTATTTGTTATTTCTTGTACTTTAACTATCGTATTATTTTCTTGTAGTATTGTTTTATTACTATGTGTTGTTATTTTGTACTATATGTTGTTTCTTGTACTTTTATTATTATTTGTTGCTTTTTTTCTTGAGTCGAGTGTCTATTACAAACAATCCTTTCATCGCTGAAATAGGGGTAAGATTTGCATACATTTTATTCTCACCAATATATTTGAATTACTTTTTCCTAAGATAAAATGGAAATATTTTTATAATAGTGATAATTTAAATTACATAATTTGATCCGACGAACTAAAATTGATGGGGTAGATCACATTTCTTATTCACATACTAAACTTAAAACCCAATAATTCGCACTTGAATGGCCTCCTTAAGCCCAAATGTAGACTTTGGTCAACCCCCTTAAGTTTTAAAACTTCCAAAATTCAAATCCTTTCTCAAACCACATTCAACCGCCAATGAAAGCATATCATACATCTTCGCAAGTCATAAATATCATTTCAAACCTATGGGGAGGGTCAAACATGAAAAAAAAAGGGAAAATGCATAAGTACCTCTCAATTTATGCCCAAAATTTCAGAGACACACTTATACTATACTAAGGTCCTATTACCCTCGAACTTATTTTATAAATAATTTTCTACCC